CCACGAGGACCCACTGGAGCTGCCCAGGAAGCTCCCCCAGCACCTCAGAGACGTAGATGAGTTTGGCGAAGGCCTCCAGGGCCTCGTCCGATAACATACTGAGATGCCTCATGTGGAACCCGTCGAGAGAGACGGCGGAGGACTTGTGGTAACTCTTGGAGAGGTCCCTGAGAGCTTCCACTGAGGGGATCCCGATGGGCTCGTGGAGGACGTTGTCCCTGTGGAGGGGCTCGGCCGAGGGCTCCCAGAATTTCCCGAACTTGGCCTTGTAGGTGTCCAGGGTACTCTGAATGGAGGCGGTGAGCTTACCCTCAATGACCACCGTGTCGGGCTCCCATTTGGTGCGCTCCTTAATGAACTTGTGTGCAGCCTTGGCCCCTTTGTCAAGGGCCTTGTCGACCCATTCCTTCCAGGAGCTGGCGTTGGCTGACCGCACATCTGAAATGACCTTCTTTGCGCATGCGTCCGCTCTGGCCTTGAACGAGAGCAGCTGCGCGACTGAGGCAGCCATCTTGCTGCAACAAAAAGCTTCAGCTTCGAAGTCTGCGTGCAAGGCCGTGATAAACTGCTGGATATCTCTCAGGAGCACGCGCGTGCACTCGTTCTGCATCACGTGCTGTGGCCTGGCGCGCAAAACTCGGGAAATAAGCTCGAAAACTGCTGGCCTAGATGCTCTGCCTATAACCTTCCCAGCATACCTTTCCTCCTCCTCTTCCAAAAAGCAGGCGAGGCGGTGCATGCGTGTGGCGATCCAGCTCGGCGCCGTAGGGAGGAGGCCGTACTGCTTGTGAGCTCTATCCTTCTTGGTTATGGATCTGAGTGTTGGCTGTGGGGCTCTTGCTCTCAAGCCAGTAGACTTGCGCTCACGAATCCTTGTGGCGGTCCGCTGCGCGAGCTCGAGCTCGGCGGCGTTGGCCCAGTGCGCGTGGGCCGAGGCGAAGTTGAGACGCAACACAACCTTGTGGCGGTTACCTAAAGCGGAGATCAGCCTATTGATATGATCTAGAACTTTATCCCAAGAGACGGTGCTATGACGCACTATATCCTCACCCTCCTCATCCTGGTCGAATGAGGAGGGGAGGGGGGGTATGGTAGGGAATTGAAGGACCTTGACCTCTCCAAAATCTGGTGGCAGATCCAGCATAACGGGGAAGTGCGGCCTAGCATCCCAGTCGAAATCGACGTCGATGCCACGCACTGCGTTGGCGAGCTGCTGCTCGACAATGAACATGTCTATAACGGAACTGCTGGCCGTGCAGGTGCCCATCGTGCATACTGGCGCGAAGAGCTGACCCTTGATGTAATTGCAGAACTCCGAATGCTCAAGCTGGTCCTGAGTGACATTGAAGCCTCCTGCTATGATGTACTGCAGCCCTGAAACCTTAACCAGGTCGGCTACGGCCTCGAGGATGGCGAGATTGTCAGGAGAGAGGCCCTGACTCACGTGCCCATACAGGGATAGACAGAGGATGCCCGAGGTCTGGGGGAACTCCACAACGACTCCCAAGACGCGTTGTGGCACCAAAATGCCTCCAGGGGGCCCAACGGGTTCCTCGAGAGTGTAGCACCCAAGATCTTCGGCCACGAAGATGGCGACCCCAGCTGACGAGCCGATATCCCCTAAACCATTCGTTGAGGGGGAAAAGGCGGCAGTGGCAACCGACGGGGCCCAAAAACTCTTCCAGCCGTGCCTGGAGGCCCAGTCAGAGGCCTCGGCAATGCTTAAATCAGAGACAAGGTGCACCTCCTGAGCAAACAAAACTTTGGTGGGTCCCCACGCAAGCTCGAGGAGGCGCTTCTTGATGGAGCCCCAAGAGGACCCATTGAAAGTCTCAAAACGGGTGCACTGAGGAGAAGAGGGAGGTGAAGAAAAGTTGGCCTTCCCAGCGCTGGCACACGCTGGTGAGGCCGTCGGCTCAACTGACTGGCAGTCACGACTCTCCGTCGAAGCTGTCGTCGCTGTCGGCGTGCTGCCGTTACCCGTACGGGCGGTGGCCCCGACGGCTGCCAGTCCCCTTGCTCGATGGTGCGCCCAGCTGCCGCGCAGCCGCGGCCTGCTGGTCCTGGTACGCAGCTCTGGCCTTCTGGATGGCTTCGAGCTCCTTCTTCGGCACGTGCTTGGCGAGGGACTCCATCTCAGCTTCGAAGAACTCGGAATCGAAAATCGGCGTGTCCGTAGTCGATGGCGCTGGTGAGGGCGGCGGCGCCGCCTTCTCGGGCAATGCCCCCACCATGCTGGCCATGTCATTGATGAATTGGAGGATGTCTGCATTGTCTGCGAACTTCTTCTTGGCCTCCTCGATCTTGGCCTTGGACGTCTTGGTGAACTCAGCGAGCGATTCAGGAACCTCGTCTGGTGCCGTGTCGGCCCAGACCGACTTGGCGTCCTGCTCCTCGCGCTGCTGGTCGTCCTGGGCCTGCTCGAGGCGTTTCTTCTGCTCGTCCATGGACTGGATGGTGGCGTCGAGCTGCTGCTGCAGCTCCTGCTTGGTCTTCTCCAGCTCTGAGATCTGGTTCTTGATCTTCTCGACCTTCTCGGCGGCTCGCTGCACACGTGTGTGGCAGCGCGCCATGCGCTGCGCTGGCGGCAGGCTAGCAGCCTGCGCTGCGCGCGCATCCACCAGGTCGGCTCTGGCCTGCTGCAGCTTGGCGGCCACGTCGGGCACGACGCTGGCGTCCAGCTGCTGGTAGGTGCTGACGAGAAGCTCGAGTTGCTCGATCTTCTTGTCCCTGTCGTTGGTGTCGGACACCTCGGACGCGGGCGCCGCCGTGTCCTTGCCCTTGCCCGTGCCACGCGAGCCCTTCCCGCGGCCAGGCGCGGCGCCTGCGGGTGGGCTGCCAGCTGCTGGCGGCTGGGGGGCGACGGCGGCCGCTGCCAGGGTGGAGACGCGCTTGGCGATGGCGTCGAGCTGCTGCTTGGAGAGCCCAGCGGCACCACCTGCGCTGCCCGCACCCTTGCCGCCGCCTGCGTTCTTGCCACCGCCCTTGCGGCGACTGGCTCCACGCTGCGGCTGATCACCCTTGTTGTAGTAAAGCCCGCAAATGTGACACCACAGCTTGCCGCTAGCCAAAGGTGTCCAAGAGCGCGGGCCACACTTCTTACACTGAACCCATGCAGCTGGCCCTGCGGCCTTCGCCATTGCTGAGGACGGGCCGTGCTGGCCAACTGCTTTTGAGTGAGAATGATGAGAACGAGAAGGCACCGTCTGGTGCACGAACAAAGAGTCTCACAGGCTGACCCCAGGGACGCGGGCTGGGCCAGACCTGGAGCGAGCGTTGGCCCTGCGCCACCTCGAGAGATGGCAACTTGAGCCAAAATGGCTTGAGCCAAAATGGCTACGGCCGCTCCCTCATTACGCGACGCCCGAGAACGGCACAGACACAAACTGTCGGAAGCTCGCCTGGACCTCGGAAAATGCAGTCAGCCCGTATACCGGGGATGGACTGACCCCCCTTTCGTAAAACGTGGCTTAGTGAAAACGACCTGAGGCCCAAACCTGGCGGGCGCAAGCCTGGAAAATAACGGCCACGGCGCCACCTTCAGAACCGACCGCAGACGGACAATTCACTAATCGAAGTGTCACTGTTGGGGGTTTTGTCCACCCGCGAGTATAATAAGGAGGCACGGTCAGGATGCGAGGGCCCTGGAAGGCCACGTCGACACTCTGCGAGCGAGGCGCGACCAGTGGAGGCGGCCAAGGATGGGCCGACGGGGAAGGATGCACAGGCAACCTTGGAAAATTGCTCATCCCTACTATGCGTGTTGACTGTATGGAGCATTCGCTCCAAGACCCTTTTGCGCCCGTACTGGGGCAGTGCTCCAACACACTGTTCCGTGCACATCGTCAGTAGCCGGTCGGACTCAGAAGAGTTCCGCAAGGGACGAAACGTTAATTCAGTAGTGACCAAAATCCCGTACGTATTTGCTTTGACCGCCTTGAATTGTCTTAACTTGATATGCGTCGAGAAAATCGGGCTACACATCGAGCAGCATCGCGGATGCATCGGCGATGCGGCCAGACCCTCCGACCCAAATTGCTCAAGACCAACCTGGGAGGCCTGGACAAACTCAGGACCAAAGACCCTCGTGAGGCGGCGACGATAAAGGGGAACGGCTCAGCGGGGGCAACATCAAGTTTCGGCTACACGCAAGAGTGACCCTGGGTAAGAGTGACCTTTGGAGCGCGGCTTTCTGGGGGCCGCGAGGAGACCAAACCTGGGCGCGGAAGCCCCTGCTACCGCTTCGTTTTCAGCCATCTGAGGGCCCATCTGTGCCCGCACCAAAGGTCACTCCAGCGAAAGGTCACTCTTACGTCTAGTCGAAAATTGGAATCGGCGATACGTCACCGATTGATCGGCTGCCGGCCCCCGATAGCAGACCCGCACGGTCCTGACCAGGGCGGGCCATCGGGCCCCTCCCGGCGACGAATGGGCGACTGAGGGCCGACGCGTCCCCCCGTGAGTCTGTCCTCCCTGACGTTTTGCCCCATGGCTTTCGGGCCATACAGTCGGGGCGTTGACCTAAGGAACCCTAAATTAGGAACGAGGCCCCTTTTTTCCATAAGTTAAACTTCGATTTCCCATCGAAAACAGTAGGAAACCCTGAGGCACGCTGTGAAACACGTAAGGAACGCGGAGCCCCTCCCCAACGAAAAGGGTTCCTTCTTCAGGGCCCCGACTGTATCTTGGGCTCTGTGGGATCCAGTCGGGACGATTTGGGCAGCCCGCGAAGGCTATCGGCGAGGCGCAGCTGCTGGAGAGCATAGCGACAACAGCATAGCGTATTCGAGAGGCTGGAACCTCGTCTCTGGGAAACCAAAACATGCCCAGATGACGTGACGTGCCGCCACTCCCTGGACCTCCCCCGCAGCGCCTTCTTACCAGAACTCGCAAGCGAATCCAGCCGTCGCTACGAGGGTCTCCCGCGAAACCCCCGGAAAGCGAAATCGAACCACGTCCAAAAAGACCCTCCCGCCGGGGCCGCCGCTGCGGCCGTGGACCTCCGGCGAGCCCGCGCGGGCGCCGGCGCCACCCTCCACGGGAGGCGCCCAGGCGGGGGGGCCTCGGCGGGCGGCAGGCGGCGGGGACGCGCGGGCCAGAAGCCTCGACGCTCGGCGGTGAGGCTCACGCCCTCGTGGAGGTCAGCCTGTCCCTACCCGGACTTCGAGGCAGAGCTGGCCGCGGCGACGAGGCCCCTCCGGGGCCCTCTGAGGGCCATGGACCTGGGAGCATTTGTTCTGTGTTCCCCGCCATCTCTTCCTCACGTTCCCATTGCACTTGTGCCCCTGTTCCTTCGTGGCCCTCCTTCTCCACATCCTCCTCCTCCTCCTCCTCCTCCTCCTCCTCCTCCTCCTCCTCCTCCTCCTCCTCCTCATCATCATCATCATCATCATCCTCATCCTCATCCTCATCCTCATCCTCATCCTCATCCTCATCCTCATCCTCATCCTCTCCTCCTCCTCCTCCTACATATCATCGTCAGCATCACCAACACCATCATCATCATCAGCATCACCATCATCATCAACAGCAGCATCATCATTATCTTTATCCGCACGATCACCTGCATCATCAGCACCCCCATCATCAACATCATCATCATCATCATCGTCAGTCGCCTCATCACCATCAACAGCATCATCATCGGCATACGCATCAAGCTCCTCATCTTCACCCACATCAGCATCAGCACCATTAGCAGCATCATTACCGTTATCATCGTCGTCACCATCAACAGCAACATCGCCACCACCACACCCACAAACATCACCATCATCATCAACATCAGCATCCGCATCATCATAGCAACGTCGTCATCATCGTCGCCATTATCATCAGCAGCAGCATCATCAGAAGCACTAGCGTCATAATCATCATCATCATCACCATCATCTTCTTCTAGGCGTTCACGTCGGCCCCGCCTGCTGGCGTACGCATGGTTCCGGAGCGGTGGCGCGCAGTGCGGGGTCCTGAAGAGGACGCGCGCCATCGCTCCCTGGCATCCTGCAGCGGTGCCGAAACGTGGAGCACCATCGACAGCAGCAGTAGCCTTTCGGCGGCGAAGCCTGGCCAGCGGAAACGACGGACTGCGGCGCATACGAAGTGCGCAACAAACCATACCATCGCTACCCCCTGTTACTCCCGTCCTTCTGGGACAACGGGAACGGCGGAACGCCGCTGGTGGGCGAGGGCGGACGGGCCACCGAGTGTTTACGCCGTCCAGAATCCACGCTATTCGTCGGAGAGTTAAGGCGCCTGGCATCCTGCTCCCCGACGCCAGCCCGTGGCCCACGGCTCGGATGGCTGCGGGTTGCGCCCAGACCTGTTGACCGATGCGCGTTCGTGGTACTAGTCCCCGACTACCCCCTTTGTTCACCCAAATTATTTAGGCGTGGTTGGTGGCCACTGAGCGGAAAAGCCACCTCGCAAGCGCGTCGTGGTCGGTCAACTCTGCGCGCGTTGCCATCGCCAGCTTCCGGCGCCACTGCCACGTTCGGCCCCTCGGCGCATCCCGGCTCATCCCCGGCGTCGCGGCGCTCGCGCTCGGGGAGGCCTGCGTCGCGAAGACGCCCGCGGAAGTCTTCGGCGCGCCGGCGCTCGCGGAGGCCTTCCTCGCGCGGGCGCCAGCGGGGGCCTCGCTCACGCGGGCGCTCGCGCGGGCGCCATTCTTCTTCGCGCGGGCACTCGTCGAGGCCTCCTTCGCGGAGGTGATCGCGGAGGTCTTCGTCGGAGGGGCGCTCGCGGGCCCCCCGCGCGGGCGCCAGCGGGGGCCTTCTGCGCGAGGGCGTTCACGGACGCCTTCTTCGCGCGGGCGTCCGTGGAGGTCTCCATCGCGCTGGCGAACGCGGCGTCGACGCCGCCGCGACGCTCCGCGACGCCACAGCGCCCAGGGCGCCGCTGCGACGCCACCCCCGCCGCGCCGCCGCCGCCGAGACGCGCTCTTCGCGCGGGCGCTGGCGGAAGTCTTCCTTGCGCGAGTGCTTCCGAGGATCTTCTTCGCACGCGCATCCGTCGAGGCCTTCTTCAAAGAAATGCTCGCGGAGGTTGTCTACTGGGGGGGCGCTCGCGGGCCCCCTCTCGCGGGCGCCAGCGGGGCTGCGTCCGCGGGGGCGTTCCCGCAGGCGCGCGAGGAGGTCTTCGTCACGCCTGCGTTCGCGAAGGCCCTCTTCGCGCGGGCGCCGGCAGAAGCCCCCCCCGCGCAGGCGCTCGCGAGGGTCTTCGCAGCGCGGGCAGTCCGTCGAGGACTTCATTACGGGCGCGGTCGCGGATGGCATCGTCGGGCGGGCGCTCGCGGGCCTCCTCCAAGCAGGCGCCGGCGGGGGAATTACTCGCGGGCGTTCACGCGCGCATTCCCCATTGCGCTGGACGTCGCGGAGGGCGTTTTTCGCGCGGGCGCCGGCGGCATCTTCTTCGCACGGGCGCTCGTGGAGGCCCTTTTCGAGGGGGTGATCGCAGAGGAAATCTTCGCGATGGTGCTAGTGAGGGTCTTCTTCGTGCACCTGCTCGCGGAGGCAGACCCTCGCGCGGGCGGTCGCCGCGGTCGCCTTCGCGCAGGCGCCCGCGGCGGCCTCCTTCGCGCGGTCGCTCGCAGCGGCATTATTCGCGGGGGCGCCCGCGGAGGCCAGCTTCGAGCGGGCCCCCCTAGAAGAATTCTACTTCGAGAAGCTGCTCGCGGAGGTCTTCCAGGCCGACGACGCGCGAGTGGGCATGGGCGCCCCTCCTTTGAGGCGGGCCCACCATCTTCTAGGCGCCCGCGTCGGCCCTGCCCGCCGGCGCACGCGCGGCTCTGGAGCGGCGGCGCGCAGCGCGGGGCCCCGCGCTGGCACGCCGCGGCAGCGCCGAAACGCGGAGCACAATCGAGAGCAGCAGCAACATCCTTCAGCGGCGAAGCCTGGCCAGGCGGACTCGACGGACTGCAGCGCATGCGCAGCGACGCAACGAACCACTTCATCATCAACGCCATCATCAGCAGCGCCATCATCACCGCCATTTTGCAAAGCTCCGCCCCCGAGCAAAAGAAGAAGACATCTCGGGTAGAATGGCGACAATCGCCAGCTTCCCTCCTGACCAGGGGAGACGAAGAAAAGGAAAGCCAAAAAACAATAACATGTTCACAGGCATCCGTGCCCCAAGACCCGTGGAACAAGTTCAAAGGGGGCTCGCTCTCTCGGAATGTGCACGGCCGACTCTCGAGTCACTCGGCGGGGCCGGCGGCCGCAGGGCGTTCGGGAGGCACTTTGCCCCCGCCGATGTCGACGAAGCTATCAGCTCGGGGACCCCCCGATTGCAGCGCAGGGTCGAGAGGCCAGCACGCGCAGACGCCAACTCGGGGACGCAGACGGGGCGAGATGCACACGCCGGCAGCGGGGGCCAGCGGCGGCCAAGGAAGAAAAAGGGAAAAGTCAGCAAGCCAGGCCGAGAACGATTCAAAGAGGGGCACAGCATGCCACCCGACAGTAGACGAGGCGAGAGGCCTCATTCAGAACCCTCGCGACAAAAGCATCGCAACGGAAAAATCGACTTGCCACTCGACGCGCCACCGCCTTTCGGCATCCGTGAGCCCAAAAAAGAAACGCCAGGCCCCTGTGAAAGTCGACACCTGTGGCAACTCTCATTCCATGCAGATTAGCGTTCGACTGAGAGACGCGCCCACCTGAGCCCTCGTTCCTACCAGCGTCTTCGGAGTCCTCCAGAAAGAGCAACCAATGGTCCACCGCTGGTGCGCTCGGCCCACCAGCATCACAGACCACCGACTTCGAGCTCGGCGGAGGGGAGGGGCATGTGGAGATCCTGCTGAGATTGTTGGCCCCCCTGACGGCCTTGGCATTACAGGGCCCACTGTACTCTAATTTCCAGCATGTCTGCACGACGAATGGCATGCCCGTTCCAGGATCATGGGTGAGGACCCTCCTCGTCCTCCTCCTCCTCCTCCTCCTCCTCCTCCTCCTCCTCTCCTCCTCCTCCTCCTCCTCCTCCTCCTCCTCCTCCTCCTCCTCTTCCTCATCCTCCTCCTCCTCCTCCTCCTCCTGCTCATCCTCCTCGTCCCCCTCCCCCTCCTCCACGAAGCCGGGGGATTGTGGAGTCCCCCCTCGTATTTGTCCTTTGTTTGTTTTACCGAGTGAAACGCTCCTTCACCCTTAAACGTTGATTGTTTGTGTGTCAGTTTTCGTTTCGTCGTGATCTCCTCATCGTATAATTCTCTCGTTATGCCGTTCTCTCGTGTTCTCTCTCTCTCTCTCTCTGTCTCTCTCTCTCTCTCTCTGTCCATCTCCTGCACAGGCCAATGCATGCCGATACGATACCAATCCATTGCCAACCAATGCCAATGCCAATGCAATGCCAATGGGAGAATCCTGTCGTTCGGTGGACTGTAATAGGAATCCTTTGTGGATGAGGTCATTACGAATCCTTCTTCGAAAAATGTTAGTAGGAAAGCTTATGTGGAAGGTTTAGAGGATTCAATTAGGATCCTTCTTTGTGGAGGATTTCAATCGGAGTTCGTCTGCGGAGGGAGCAATTAGGAATGGCCAGCGCAATGCCAACGCAATGCCAAAGCAGCGCCATCGCAATGCCAAGACAATGCCAAGGCGATCCCAATCCAATGCCAGCACAATGCCAATGGGGGGTACCCGTTGTGGTAGATTCCGAAAGGAATCCTACATGTGGAGGGTTTCGATTGTAATCCTTCTGTGGAGGTTTCACTATGAATCCTTCATGTGGGGGGCGTTCAATAGGATCCCTTCGTGTGAAGGTTCTCATCGGAATCCTTATGTTACCAGCGCGATGCCAAAGAAATGCCAACGCAATGCCAAACCATTGCCAAGGCGATCCCAAATTAATGCCGATGCAACGCCAATGGGGGGAATCGTTTGTAGTAGATGTCAACAGCAATCCTTCTAAGAACCCTTCTGTGGATGATGTCATCCACAGATGAATCCGTCTAAGAACCCTTCTTCGAGGGATTCCAACAGGACACCTTCTGTGGAGGGTTTCGCATGGAACCCCCTCGTGGAGGATTTCAATTAGAATCCTTCTTGTGGGAAATTCAATAGGCATCCTTCTTGCGAGGGTGTTCAATAGGAATCCGTCTGTGAAGTATTTGAGCAGGACTCGCCAGCGCAATGCCAACGCAATGCCAACGCACAGCTAGCGCACTGCCATCGCAGTGCCAACGCAATGCCAACGCAATGCAAAGTCGTTGCCAAACCAATGCCAATGCAATGCCGATGGCGGGACTCCTGTCTTTCAACAAATGTCAATAGGAATCCTTATGTGGATGATTCGGCTACGAATCCGTCTTGGGAAGATGTCAATAGGAATCCTCCTGTGGAGGGTTTCGATTGAAATCCTTATGTGGGGGATTTCACTGTGAATCCTTATGTGGGGGCTTGGGACTCGCCAGCGCAATGCCAGCACAATGCCAAAGCAGTGCCAACGTAATGCCAAGCCAATGCCAAGGCGATCCCAACCCAATGCCAATGCAGTGCCAATGGGGGAAATCCTTGTGTGGTAGATTCCAATAGGAATCCTTATGTGGAGGGCTTCACATGGAATCGTTCTGTGGAGGGTGTCAATATGAACCCTTGTTGTGGAGGGTTTCAATGGGAGTCCTCCTTATAGAGGGTTTCAATAGGAGTCCTTCTATGGAGGGTTCCATTAGGACTCGCCAGCGCAATGCCTGCGAAATGCAATCGCAATGCCAACGCACTGCCAAGCGCAATGCCAACGCAATGCCACTGCGATGCCAAACCATTGCCAAACCAATGCCAATGCAATGACAACGAGGGGAGTTCTTTTTCATGGCATCTTAATATCAACCCTTCTGCGGGCGATTTCAATCTGAATCCATATGTGGAGGATTTCAATCGGAATCCTTCAGTGGAAGGTTTCGATTGCAATCCTTCTGTAAGGGAGTTCGCTAAGAATCCTTCTTGTGGGGGACTTCAATCAGAATCCTTCTAGGGTGGAGGGCAGATGGGGCCACGTCGGATTCCTTTTTTTCGCCACCGACCCCCCCCCCCGAGGCAAAAAGAATGGGCGGCCGCGCCGCCGATTTTTTTCGGGGGGGGGAGGAAAGGTATTGAGAGAGGAGGAGTTGGTGGATGAGCGCGAGAAGGAGAGAGAGAGAGAGAGAGAGAGAGATAGAGAATGATGAGAACGAGGAGGAAGAGGATCACGGCGAATTGCAAAATGGCAACAACAAATACATCACAACTGAAGGGCAGAGGAGCGTTGCACTCGATGAAAAAAACAGAGGACAAGAGCGAGGGGCCCCACAGTCCCCCGTTCCCCCCTCCGTCTCCTCCTCCTCCTCTCTCCCCCTCCTCCTCCCTCCCCTCCTCCTCCTCCTCCCCCATCTCCTCCTCTCCTCCACCTCCTCCTCCTCCTCCTCCTCCTCCGCCTCCTCCTCCACGGTCGGCCCTCCCTCCCTCCCCGCCTTCCACCCCCCCCCCTCCTGAGGAGGGGGGGGTGGAAGGCGGGGGAGGAGGGCCGGAGGGAGGAGGAGGAGGAGGAGGAGGAGGAGGAGGAGAAGGAGGAGGCGGAGGAGAGAAGGAGGAGGAGGAGGAGAGGAGGAGGAGGGGGAGGAGGAGGAGGAGGAGGAGGAGGGAGATGGAGGAGGGCCTCCTCCTCCGTCCTCCTTCCCCCCTGCGGCGCGGAGCTCCAGCCGCCGCCCCCCCCCCCCCCCCGCGCCCGGCGCGCGGCCTGCCGCCTCCGCCGCGGAGGCCGCGGCGCCGGCCGCGGGCGGCCCCATTGGGCGCGCCGCGGCGAGCGGGCGGCGCGGCGCGGCGGCGGCGCTGCTCCGTGCGTTGGAAAGGTCTGCGTGCCGTCGCTCGG